AGAGTAAGTTTTAAAAACAGAGGGGAAGGGCTTGGTTTCTGACCCAGCAATGCAAAAAGAAGCCCAAACAACAAACACACTCTCCCCAAATAAAAAAAATAACAACAAAAAATTCTTGGTTTCCTTCAGTGAGCAACCAACAGTCACAAGTTAAGCTCCCTTCCACAAAGCTTAGAAGCCAACCAAGCACTTGCATAATATAATAAAAACCATCCATATCCTAGTGAAAGAGGGCACAGGAATGGAAAGCAGAGTGAATAATCATCCCCTCCCTCATGCTCACAAGAGAAGTGCCATCTTTTCATCAGTGCCTACCACAGAACCTTTCAAATTCCAACAAGCCTGCAAAGGAAGCATTCTAGATACAAAAGGAGGATTAGATACAAAAAGAAAAAAAAGGAGTAACTTTTCAGGGTGGAGATATGGCTGGGTGGTACAACATTTGTTGCAGTTCTGAATTCAATTTCCAGTTTTATAATTGGTAGGGACAGGTGCTGGGGAAATGGCTCAGTCTGTAAAGTGTTTACTGAGCGGGCATTACAACCTGAGTTCAGATTTCTAGCATGCTTGTCAACAGCATGCACTATAATCCCATTGGTGGGTAGTGGAGAAAGGCAGATTCCTGAGCTCACTGGCCAGTTTGTCTAGCTAAATCTAGCTCTAGATCCAGTGAAAGACTCTGTCAAAAATGAAGGTGGACAGGGCTTAACTAAAACACCAGACCTCCGCCTGTGGTGTCTTCACATACACATACATGAGCATGTCTGCATGGACAAATGCACCACATACACGTGTGCATGTATGCAGCACACACACGGGGTAGGGGATGGTGACAGAGTATCATTCAGTCACCTTCTCATGTAGTCAATGAAAACAAGAATGTTTTTACTCTAACATGCACTGTGCTTCAGACATTTTCCTTCACAGTTCAGTTCACAGTGATGCTACCAGATATCAAACTTCACTTTCCTTCTACAAGCTGTTACTAGTACTGTCAACCTGAGTTGACTGTCATTCTCTAGAAATACGAGTTCAAATATGAATGAACAGTTCTAATGAATACACCCATTGCAACTTACAATATTCACATGCCTACAAGTTTCAGAATTAGAGTTGTTGGTCAAATTTCTCTTAAAGAGTCAGATTCTCTCTTCTTTCACAAACTCTCAGGCAGGCAAAGTTGCACAAGGTTCAAGAGACCATGTGGCATCAAAAATAGCATATTTGCCGGGCAGTGGTGGCGCACGCCTTTAATCCCAGCACTCGGGAGGCAAGAGGCAGGCGGATCTTTGTGAGTTCGAGGCCAGCCTGGTCTACAGAGCGAGATCCAGGAAAGGCGCAAAGCTACACAGAGAAACCCTGTCTCGAAAAACCAAAAAAAATAAAAAATTAAAAAAAAATAGCATATTTATTTATACTGCTAGGGTCTTAAAGAACAGTATTTCTTTGTTCAAAAACTGAAAATTGCCGGGCAGTGGTGGCGCACGCCTTTAATCCCAGCACTCGGGAGGCAGAGGCTGTGAGTTTGAGGCCAGCCTGGTCTACAGAGCGAGCTCCAGGAAAGGCACCAAAATTACAAAGAGAAACCCTGTCTCAAAAAACAAAAAACCAAAAACCTGAAAATTATCAATAATTTTTATGTTTTAATAAAATAATTATATATATAAATATAAAACTATCGCATGCCCTATCCTTTTGCAAACATATAAAATAGCTTTCTTTTCCACTAAGCAATTAGTCTGTACAGTTTATCAGCTATTATTCCTTAAAAAAAAAAAAATGATTTGGTATAACATACCTTAAAAGTGCCCCAAACTACAATTTGTTGGTATAGTGCCTCACACAGAAATGAACTTTAAAATGAACTGAGATTATCTGACTTCATGTAGCTGAAAGAGTCCGAACCATTCATGTGTGATAGGTAAATGTATCTGTAGTTAAAATTATATTGTTTTAAATTACAAGCTCATTTTATGTTTCAAAGTTTTATAGGGTTTTATGTTCTGTAAAATCATCTGTATTAACCTCTGACAGGTTTATTCTATTAAAGAGATTTGTACCTGTGCAATTATACTTGTAACAAAAATCCTGAGTATCATTGTTTGTATCATTTCTTTCTCCCTTTTTGACAATAAACTTCTATAAACATGACCTATCATTTGTGATTTAAAATGTCTTAAAGGGATTACATCAACTAATCCATTTTAATTGTTGCTAATACCCAGCATTTACTTCAGTCCTCATTCACAATTCAAAATAAATGCTTACACCAACTTCCTGTTTACAGTGCATGAAAGAGCTCTGAGTGTATGTCCCCATGTATGTCCTTCCCTTCCTCTATAGAGGGTTAGATAATGAGTATTTTAGGCTAAGTGAATCCCAGGGTCTTGGTTGCAACTACATGTGGAAGTTAGAGCACAAAAGTAGCCACAGACAAGGCATAAGGGACACAGCTGGATTTAGTTGCTATCATTCTGGATTTAAGCTAGTGTAATAATGTGTTGAGTCTTGAGCTAAGTCCTGGAGGAAACATTAAATACTGTGCCACTCCAATAGACTTGGGCTATCTTAGTACTTTGCTTTCCAGAAGAGACCATTCATAGGCATGATGAGTTTATACAGCTTCAGCACTGAAAACACCATTCTTCTTCACAGAGTACTAATATCATCGCCACTGAAATCACGTGCTACCTTCCTGAAAAGCTACATAAGTTTCCTAAGTATAACACTATATGATCAAGGACTTACTCTGGCTGCCCATCCTTTCACATATTCTAATACCGATCTCTCCTACCTTCTTTCCTCAACTTAACCCTGATGTCACTGGACACTGTACATCTTTCTGTCTTCTTTCTTTCTTTGTTTCCATAGAAAAAGTGAGCTCCATATCCCCTACTTTTGCTAGCAGAGTTGGATGCTAACTTCGGTCTCCTTCTCCCTCACTGCTTGCAATACTATCAAGTCAGACAAGCTGTGTACTTAACCTTCTCGGCCTCTTTCGTGCGGCAGCAAAGCCGCATATATCAATAATATCATAAAAGACTATCAGGTGAAAGACAGGAGGACATCTGAGAAAGTTCTTTTATTTTCTTTTTCAATGGAGAGGAGTAACAGTTGCCAAGACCTCCAGTCCCTTTTCTTCCTGCCCTATGTGTTCCTTTGGACTGGAGCAGCCATTAGGAGCTAGAACTGTAGAGCTGCAAATACTGATAAGTTTTAACCCGCAAATCAGTACCAGAGGTCAACTCTCTCCAGTTCTTATTAGGTGAAAAACAGACCCTTAAATGGAAATGTCATTGGATTTCTAAATCACTAGTTATGGAAAGTGCTATCCAAAGTGTGTTATGAATTTTCCATAAACAGCATTTCTCTAACATGGAGAGAAAAGCAGCAAAACATGGTCTCTGCCCTGAGGGCTGACATTCTTGGAAGAATGAAGTCAAAACAAGCCAAAAGGGGCCCAAGATGATTATCCATGGAGGGATGGAGAGTCAGACAGATAGACAGACAGAGACAGAATTGGAGAGGGACAAAGAAAGTCACAGAAAGAGAGTGACAGAGATAGACAGACACACAGACATAGAAGCAAAGAGAGACAGAGACAGAGTCAGAGAGAGAAACACATACAGAGAAAGAGAATGGAAAAAGCTAAACACTTTACTATTGTCGAGTCAATAAGCTTTATTAATGTTCTACTCAACAAATCAAATGTAAAAATCCTAAGTGTATTAATGTTCTATCATATGCTTCCACTATGTGAAAACAAGTTCAGAACTCATTTTTTATAGTTACAGTTTTGTGATTTTTCAAGCTACTTAATTTATCTTTATAATTAGAGTTCTCTAATATTTTCAAATGCATTATTATTGTCAATATAGGAGTATGTCTGCCACTTGCAGAATCTTTGAAATAATAACCATTAAATTAGTAATGATACTGCCAATAAAGACAATGGTTCTTTCAAGCATTCACACATTGCTTTTGCTGGCAGATCCATCACTCTCTGTTTAGGGACAGCTGCTTCTCTCGTTGACCTATGTCATTATGTAATTCTATTTGGCCAAGAGAAAAGCCCATAAGTATGGTTATTTTAATTCACATATCCCTCTTAGTAAAACCTTTAAATTTAAATATGTTTGTACTGGGGCTTGAGATAGGATTCAGTGGTTAAGAGTGCTTACTGCCCTTCCAAAGGTACTTAGCACCAATATGGAGTAACTAACAACCACCTGTAACTGTAGTTCCAGGAATCCTTTCTCTGGCCTCCATGGGCACATGTCTCCACACACACACACAAAGCCCCACACATACATATAATTTAAACAGAAAGCAAATCTTTTAAAAATGTGTTTATTTTTATACGAACAATGCACTATGTATCTGGGTATACACACACACACACACACACACACACACACACACACACACACACACGCTTATACCAGTGCATGCACCCAAACACCTCTAACTTTAAATTGCAATGCCTTCTGCTTCATGACATTGCTTGTTGGTTTTATGCTATGGTGTAAGCATTTATCAATAACAACAGCTATATACTCTATAAGCTATTGTTCTGGTTTCTAGATTTTTTTTTTATTCCAGTGTTCATAACAGAATAGGATTTCTTTGAACTGTTTAAACTTTACCTAGGAAGAAATCTAAATATAAGGAAGTTAAGCCTCCCCTATAGTAGTGGGGCAGAATTTAATGAAGACCCAACATTTTGTGGTAATGCCCCAATTTCTTATTGTCTGTTTTGGTTGACAAATCTGTGCTGCACAGAGTAATAACAGCAGCAGAACAGCTGGGTGGCCTTATCAAGCACAAAGGAAGCACTGGCACATGCTGCTAAGTGTCTTTCTGATTGCCTAGAAATGGCAGCACATGCAGATTTATTCCCTGTTATAAATTAGAACAATTATTTCTCTGGAGTTTACAATTTCTTTACACAAGAGTCGAACTTGCTGTACATAAAATGAAAGAGACTTTCAAAAGGATATCTTCCCTTTCTTTGATGATCAGTTCATTCTGTTCTTCCAACTGCCGAATCTTCCTCTCAAAGGACTCCTGCTCGGTCTTCAGGCGCTCCTCTGTCACTTCCTTTTCTTCACTGATTCTGAAAGAAAGACCAAAAAAGGAAGGAAAATGAAAAGTCCATCAGGAGAAAGCAACATGCCTACAGCTTCAGCTCACCCAAATGACGCTTCTAACACAGGATTCTTAGGGAGTTCTGTTTTTAATTTACTCTCTCATAAAAGTCTTCAACTTTGCAACATTTATGCTCCACGTTTTAAAAGATATATACAAGAAGGAAACAGTTAGAATCGTGGTCTACATTTTTAATTGAAGCAGTGTCAGACCACAAAGTAACAATAGAAGATCTCAGCCTCCGTGTCACTTAGAGTAGGCCATAGGTTCGTCAACAGAGCAATAATCTAAATGGAGGGAACACCTGGACTGGCACCATGAAGAGTACAGAAACTCTGGCAGGAGTACATGCCCAGTGCGGGCTTGTTAATTCCTGGAAGGAAAACAATGGCTTATGCAAAAAACTTTACCACTGTCATCATTTACGGACTCTTCAGAGGATGTCCTCCAAACATCCATAAACTGTCCTCTTACTTAACATGAGAAGACCTTTAGAGTTAAGCGACAGGACTAATGGTGGTGCCCGAAAGAATGGATTTCTCTTGAAGTCTTCTATTTTATTTTAATTATTATTGCATATTTTATATTTCTCTATACGATAATATTATATGTTTTAATATCAAAAGCCCTCTGTGGTGGTCTGGAAAAGAATGGCTCCCACAGGCTCATATATTTGAATGCTCAGTCATCAGGAAATGGCACTATTTGAGAAGAATTAGGAGGTGTGGCATTGTTGGGGTAGGTGTAGCCTTGTTGGAGGAAGTGTGTCACTGGGGGTGGATTGTGAGGTTTCAAAAGCCCACACCAAGCTGAATCTCTGTCTCACTCTCTCTGACTGTGGATCAGGATGTAAATCTCAGCTACTGCTCAGGTGCCTTTTGAGCTGCCATGCTTCTGCCATGAAGATAATGGACTAAACCTCTGAAACTGCAAACAAGCCCCAATTAAATGTTTCCTCTTCCAAAAGTTGCCTTGGTCATGGTTTCTCTTCACAGAAGGAAGGTAAGATTAGGAATTAAATAAATCATATTGATAAGAATGGACTTGAGACACTATCTCTGTTCCCTGGAGACTGTGCCAAAACTTGTGGTAGACCAAGCTTTCTCCTTCCTGTGGACCCTCTTGGCCCTCCATTCTAACCCATTCCCATTCCTTGTGTCAGCCACCAATACCTAGAAGTACTCTCCATCTAGGACCCTTGGTGGCCACACTGGACCTAGAGTTGGGTAGGTGATTCTCACTCTCCTCCTGTCCTCTACTCCAATCTCTCCAGTCTCACCCCCAGCTCTGTAATGGCCTGCTTGCACAGGCCTGTCCTTCCAACCTATCTCCATTCCCTGGAGACTCCAAGAACACTGGTGTGGAGCCAGCTTTTCTTTTTCCTGTGGACCCCTTCAAGTCTTCTCTTCTAATTCATCCTCATCCCTTAATGCCAGTCCCCAATACCCAGAAACACTTTTAACCTGGGAAAACCAGTGACTACACCAGGCAGGGAACCAGGCCAGGTATTCATGCCATCCTTCATGTTCTCCATTACAATCTCTCCATTTTCATCTCAGCCCAGTAGCAACCTGCTTACAGCCTCCCTCCTGTCACCTCAACTCCATTCAACTCCAACTCTAGGTTCAGACTCAGGATCACCCTGGACATCTCATCCCTGTCTTTCCAGATTATTCTCTACCTTGCTGCAACCTACTAACAGAAGCCCCTTTTCCTACCACACGTCCAACTCCCTAGGACCCCACTCTTGGTGTGGATAGGATCCCAGTTGTTCTTCGTGAAGCCGCTCTCAGCCTTTTCATCTGGCCCACATCCATACCTCCTTGCCACCCACTGACCTGCAGGAGCACTCTCTACCAGGCAACACACAGCCACCACACTTTCCTAAGATCAAGAGAGGGCAACAGAAACCAAAGAAAGGAATATCCACCTAACAAAGACAGAACATATATCAATACTATGCTGGCAAGTATTATGTCAACTTGACATAAGCTAGTTTTATCTGAAAGGAGGGAACCTAATTGAGAAAATGCTTCCATAAGATTCAAATATAGGGCATTTTCTTATTTAGTGATTAATGGCAGAGGGCTCAGTCCACTGTGAGCAGTGCCTTCCTTAGACTGGTGGTCATGGGGTTCTGTAAGAAAGTAGGCTGAGCAAGCCATGATAAGCAAGCCAAGAAGCATCACTACTCTAAAGCTTCTGCATCAGCTCCTGCCCTGTTTAGAGTTCCTGTCCTGACTTTCTTCGATGATGAATAATGATGTGGAAGTGTTAGCTAGATAAACCCTTTCCTCCCCAAGTTGCTTTGGTCATGATGTTTCATCACAGCATTAGTAATTAAGACAAATACCTAGAAACACCTGAGTCCATACCTCAGAAGTCTAGACACCAGTGCAAAATGACAAACATCAAGAGCTAAGACAATGCCTCTAGCAGAAAGAACCCAGTAAGTGTACTACAGTAGGCCCAGAGAAACTCAATATAACTGAAATATAAGACAAAGACTTCAAGACAGCAATTATGAATATGTTCAAGAACCATAAAGAGGATATAAAGAAATCCCATAATGAAGTCTGTGAAAGCAACAGCTCAAGACATGAAAATAGAAATACAATCGCTAAAGAAAATCCAAGCCGAGACTAACTGAAAATGAAAAATTAGGAAGTCAAACAAAAACCTTAGAGGTAAGCCTCAATGACAGAGTGAAAGACAATAAAAAGAGCCTTTCAAGCATGGAAGATAAAGTAGAACAAATGGATACTTCAGTCAAATAATATGTTAAATCTAAAATAATCCAGGCACAGAATATGCAGGAAATTTGGGACACTGTAAAAAGACTAAATCTACAAATGATAGGAATAGAGGAAGAAGAAGAAACCCATTTCAAAGGTATAGAAAAATATTTTCAACAAAATCATAGAAGAGGTGTCTATCAATGTACAAGTATACCGAACACCAAATAGACTGGACCAGAAAAGAAATTCCCAACAACACATAATAATCAAAACACTAAACATACAAAGACAGAACATTAAAAGCACATTAGGAAAAACCAAGTAATTTATAAAACCAGACCTATTAGAATAACACCTGACTTCTCAATGGAGACTCTAAATGCCAGAAGGTCCTGGACAGATGTTCTACAAACTCTAAGAGACCACAGATGCCAACCCAGACTACTATACCCAGCAAAACTTTCAATCATAATAGATGGAAAAGGACATTCCATGATAAAACAAATTTACGCCTTATGTATATATTTAAGCAATATGTATATACAAATCCAGCACTATAGAAGGCACTAAAAGGAAAACTTCCACACCCACGAAAATACAAGAAACAAGTAATATAAGACAATCAAATCAAGAGGAAAAAACACACACAATACAACAAAATAATGGAAATCAACAAATACTCCTCATAATTCTCAACATTAAGGGTCTCAATTCCCCCAATAAAATAATAGATTCAAAAACAGGACCTATCCTTTTTCTTCATCCAAAAAACACACCTTACCATCGAGGACATACATCAACTCAGAGTGACAGGATAGAAAAATATATTCAAGCAAATGGACCAGGAAGCAAGCAGAGGTAGCCATTTTAATATCTGACAAAATAGACTTCAAGCTAAAACTATTTAGAAGAGATCGGGAAAGACACTACATACTCATCAATGGAAATAGCCACCAACAGAATACTGCAATTCTAAACATTTATACACCAAACACAAGGACACACACGTTCATAAAAGAAAAACTACTACAGCTAAAATCACATATTGACCCTCACAGCATGATAATTGGTAACTTCAGTAACCCACTCTCATCAATGGACAGGTCATCCAGACAAAAAATAAACAGGGAAATGCTGGAGTTAACTGTTGTTATAAATCAAATGGGCCCTACAGATATTTACAGAACATTTCGCCCAAACACAAAATAATATACCTTCTCTGCAATTCATGGAACTTTCTCCAAAACTGACCATACACTTGGACACAAAGTGAGTCTCAACACATATAAGAAAACTGAATAACTATCATGGATTAAAAGCTGGATACCAACAACAATAGAAAGTATACGAATTCATGAAAACCGAATAACTCACTGCTGAGTTGAAAATGTGTCAAGATAGAAATTAAGAAGGAAATTTAAAACATTTTAGGATTGAATGAAAATGAAAGCACAACAAACTCAAACCTTTGGAACACATGAAGGAAGTTATGAGGCAAGTTCAAAGCACTAAGTGCCTACTTAAAAAAAAAAAAAACATAATGGGAGCCATCTCCTATTAGCAACTTAAAGTCAGAATGGCAAAGATCAATGAACACCTGACAACAAATGCTGGGAGAGCTGCAGGGAAACGGGAACCCTCACTCACTGTCGGTGGAAATACCAACTGATAGAGCCAGTAAGAAGATCAGTGTGGAAAATTATCAAAGCTGAAAATATATCTGCCTATGACATGACTATACCACTCCTTGGCATACGCCCAAAGCACTTGACATCTTGCGCAGCCATGTTCATTGCTGCCCTAGTCACACGAGCTAGGAAAAGGAAACAATCTAAATGTCCTTAACTGAAGAATGGATAATGAAAAAGTGTTACAAAGACACAATGGAATACTATTGAGCTGTAAAGAAAAATGCAATCATGAACTCTGCAGTTAAATGGGTGGAACTTGGAAGAGTTATATTGAGTGAGGTCATCCAGACTCCAAAATATCACATGTTGTCTCGCATCTGAAGCTCCTAGCTCTAAATCTCATATGTGAGTACATATCCCGGCATAATTGCAGAAACTAGTACAATAAAAAGGTGACATGGCCAGGGTGAGGTAGAGAGGGAATAATAAAAGAATAGCAGTGTACAAGTGATCTGAACAGGGAAATGGATGTGGGGGTCCCTAATTAGACAAGAATGAGATAGACAAATACAGAAGAAATGAGAAGGGTAAAAGAGCAG